TGCATCATTCAATATATCAACGATTAATGTTGCAAACTCCTTGGCATTAAACAATGCTAACTTTTGTCTACCCTGTTAATGAAAAGAAATAAAGAAATAATAAATTTATAAACATAGAAAGTACACCAATATGACATAACTGGAAGTCATGTGTACAATTCCCTACTTTAACTAATTATTAAAATGATCTTCTCATGCATCTTTTTCAGTAAAAGTAATTAGGGAACCCTGTGTCCTGGTAAAGTACCACACCTTCTAAATAAAAGCTGATAGTTCCTTTTCAGAATTTATTAAGACATTGAAGACTAACGCTCCCTTGTCTGGTCACCATGTTCTAATAAATCCTTGCAGTGTCAGCAAGGCTCAACAATGCTGGACTAAATCAACACAAAGAATGAACACTTGTTAATAATAATCATATAATAATAGGTGCAATGGGTTGCCTACCTGATTTCTTGTTGAAGAAAATGATGGATTAACTGGAAGGAAGGGTACTGTAGTGGTGTCACTTAAAAGAGCACTTTGATTCTGTGTTGCTAGCCAAACTAATGACAAATGAACATAAAGAGGACAAAATAAATTAGCAAGCTTACAAAAAAAGACAAAATAATGTTGTTTTTATAAAGCTAGAGTCTAAGTCTTTCTTATTTCCTCTGCAACATGAGCAATATTATCCTGAAGGTCTTTCAGTGCTTGCTGGGTTGGATAAAGTTAGCACCGAAATTCAAGGACTTTCCAGCACCAACTGTAATTTTCAAGGACTTTCAAGGCCTTGAATTTTTATTTTAAATTTCAAGGACTTTCAAAGTGAGTGCGAACCCTGTTTTTAAGTGATGAGAGGGGTGGGGTGGGGCGTTGATTAATTGAGGGAGACAATTATTTTAAATAATTTCCATCAAAGGGGGAGAATTATTTGAGGCAGGCAATTAGTCAAGCAACAGCTATTATTCAAGGATATGAAGTACATGTTAAGTGTACCTGAATCACACTCTCTTCTGTCTACTTCATCATACACATCAGAAGCTAATTCTTCAAACAGATGGTGACTCAACTGTTCATAAAGAAGTCAACAAGTATTACAAGTTAGTTTTGTCTTGACAAGTTAAAAAAGCATGTGGTGGAAATCATTTTGCTCATTAAGATTCTTTTTTTTTTCAACCACTGAAGTAATCACTTGTTCCAAAGTAATCAATGCTTTCAAGTGATAGAAATCATGAACTGTCCCGTTCTGGAAAAGCTCAACATCTTTTGCATTAATATTTCGTAAGCTTTCTATGCATGGCTTTTGTCATGCAACCATTCTTATCCCAAGGTTCCACGGACTCCACTAGGAACACCTGGGACCCCCTTTTGGCGTGCACACACAAAAATATGCTTGCATTTTTAATGTCTCGCAGCTAAAACAAGTGAGACTAATAATAATTACTAGATGCACATCAAAAAGCATAAAAATACTCCTCAAACAACTTACAGCTTGTAGTTTTAGTTTAGCTTTTTGTGCATCATCTGATAAATCCAGACAACTGTAAGCAAAGCAAAACATTTCATGGTTACAACATAACACCGATATGGAATAACTATTCTTAAACTATTTAAGTTATTAACTCCTGTGCATTTCAGACTACGTCCCAAGAGTGACCAACATAACTTTTCTCTTAGCAACACCAATACACAATCAAGACAAAAGGTTATGAGAATTAATAAAATGATCAACTATGGAAATGTATAGAGACTAATCTAGAGAATTTGTATGTGGATATTGGGCCTTAAAGGGGTAAAATAACAACCACAAAGAGATGAGAGCACTGGGACAAGACTATACTTGAACTGGTCTGAAAGTCATGCTTGTATAACAAGGTCAAGGTGTCCTTCTGTGAAACAAAAATGATGTACCTTTCTGCCATCGTGGGAATAAGGTAGTGAACTCCATTTTGATGGTCTGAAATTACAAATTTAAAGACGTGATTTAAACAATGACTTTCATGCATATTGTACATTCAAAACACCCAGAAGATTACAAGTTATGCACATTTAAACAAGTATTGATTTTCATTGTGGCAATTTTCCTTTTTTTCAGACTATCATCATGGTCCAAGACAAAAGGAAACATTCATTTATTCATTCAATCATTCAATCAATCAATCACTCACTCACTCAATCATTCATTCATTCATTCACCGCATTTATCAGAAAGCATCTTAATCAGGTGTTCCTGTGGAACTAAGGCAGAAATTTTCGAGCTATCCTGAGCAACTGCAAATTAGGTGCCCCTACTAATTTTATCAAGGGCGTCTCGGCCATAAGTGATGAACGTGTATCCAAAATCAATGATTACCTTTAGTTACTGGTTTAAATTCTCTCAAGACAATGAAAATGATAATGATAATAATTATTTTTATAAGCTACAATGATTGTGATGATGATGATGATGATGATAATGTTGAAGGTATTGATGTTGTACACTGCACACTTAAACGACTTCTGAATTAAAGCAGAAAAAAGCACTTACCAGGTCGTCTGCCACATAAATAATAAGTAAGTCTGTCTGTGAGTTCAAACTGAACCTCAATAAGTCGCTGGGCAATATTTGTATAGCCAGCCTCCCTGCAGAAATAACATTGTTCACATGAGATTATACGTCTACAATGTTCAGGAAAATAGACTTACACAGTCATCTATAAAAGCTCTTTCTAAAAAGCCATACTCAATTTCTTACCTTTGATGTTTTTATTATTATTATTATTATTATTATTATTATTATTAATAATATTATTAATAGAGAACTTCATAAGGTACATTCACGGAATTTTATTTACAAAAGGAAACTAAGAAACTTACAATAAATTCACATCAAGTGTGACCAGTTTTTTGCATGATCTGAGAATGAAATCATTTTTTTCAAGTCCTCTCAACTGTACATGTAGATTGCAACTTTTCTCATTTCTATGGAGAATGGAGGTCTCTAAGACAGTTAAAATGTTACAACTTGTATTCATGTAAGTGACACACATGCATGTGCTTTACTGAAAAGGTACATTGTAATATTTTCTTTTGGACAAAATTCATAAAGAATATTCCCGCATGAATTTGGAAATCTTAAAACTTATGTATTGAAAATAATGCATAGATCTTCAGGGCTGTCATTCAGATCTTGAGTAGCTGGTCTGTCAGGGAAAGTAGTTATTTAGTTATCCCACAAATCAAGGGCTGTTTTCTACATGTAGCAGTGCCCAATGAGCCATAGTGCTTTACTTTTGCTTTAAGATGACTAGGAAATCTAAGTTTTTTCATAGAAATCACAAACTGGGCACCCTGGATTTCACTGAGTCAGAGCAATGGTCTCCCTTCAATTTGTCTCAGAGAACAGCCTTGAATTCTTCTTACACTGTGTATATGTTGTGGTTTAATTTTGTCCTTGGTTTAAATTTATTTTCCTTTGTCTTTGGGTATGATAATGTATTATAATGAGTTTGAAACAAAAGAAAATTAAAATCAACCCAAGGATAAAATTGAATCACAACATATACATGTATATTGACTCATTTTCAAACTTAGAGTAGCTGGCTGTTTTTACTGCAGTAGCCTGCTATAAAAAACCGGCTGCCCACTACTAATGTTAGCCGTGGATCTCAAAGCCTATCCTAGTCATGCATGATAAAGATGACCTTTACTGAAGATTTAAAGTTGATCACTTACATGGCACAATCCACAGGGGTTTTTCCATTCAGGTCTGGTTTAGTGGGATCAGCACCATGTACGATCAGAAGCTCAACTTGAAGCGCTTGCCCTGCATTAGCTGCTACATGAAGAGGAGTATTATTTCTTTCCTGACAGAAAACAACAGTCAAGACATCATTTAAGTGACTTCAGTGCTAATTAATCTTAACAGTAAATAGAAGGTAAGTCAACCTGACTTACATGTACAATTCATTGTCTAAATAACCTTATGGTAAAGGTTACCTGATTTATTCATTTATTTACTATTAATTATTATTGTTTTTTATTTGAAAATTTTTATTCTGAACAAAATTCAGAAAAAAATGGTGAATAAACAATCAACAACGTTGTCAACATAAAAAGCCAAAAAGAAGCCAGCAGCTCAACAGAGTAAAATTGGTCAACAGACCATTTCCTAATTTTGTTTCCTGTTGGGTATCCTGTGAAAACTGAGGATAAAAATCGAGAACCGTGGCTATTTTCTGCTGTGACTCACAAATTCAAGCAACCACTGGATTCATTTTCATGACCTTAAACATCTTCCACATTCCAACATTAGAATTCTTAACTCTTGACTCATTTAACAAGATTTCTTATCACTTACAGGATGAAAATAGTTTGCTCTTGCACCTAGAGAGAGAAGTCTCAAACATGTCTCAAGATTCCCAGTCCTTACACTCGAGTGAAGTTGCTAAAATGGAAACATAAAAGGTATCACTTATCAACAAGTATTGTCACATGCAATGAAACCTGTATGAAGCAGTCCATCCCACATGTGTCTGCTAAATACAGGTTTAACTGTATTTATAATAAAAACTGGCTCTGCTCATTGTATGTTATTAGCTTCCACTATTGTGTAATTATACAAAAGAAGGAAGACATGCTAGGTTTAATCTGGCCTTATCCATCTCATATAGAGGTTATTAGAAAAAAAAGTTAACTCTGAGGTAGTTTGTGTTACAAAAAAGTTAATACTGGACTTTGCTTGTCACCCCTGTAGCTGCACCTTGACCTTGTCTGTCTTAGAAGAATCCACACTATTTCTTTCACTGCTTCTCACCATTAGTTATGGCTTCTAAAACTTTCAAATGATAATTATCTGAACTTTCTGAGCTTTCTGTCTCGGGCTCTTAAGGTTTTCAAGTTTTGGGTGTCTGAGCAGCCTTTGTTTTTAAGACTCCATTTACCTGTGCATAGCTGTGCAGAGATATGAAATTTCTATTCAAGTGGCGTCAAAAATGTAGTTCACAAGTAGTGAAGTGAGTGAGCGCAACAAACAAGTGAAATATTTTCAACGCAAGAATTGGGAGAAATTTTGTATCTCCAAGCAGCCATGTAATGTTCTATTTATTATAATAAAGAAAAAAAATCAAGATTCTACCTGGCTGAGGTCTGCAACTGTGATTGTATCATCATCTTTACATGGAAGACGAGGAACAAATGCAAGTCTTTGGTACTTGGCTTTGATGAAGGTTGCTTTAGTGGGACTAGAAATTGAAGAATAATAAAGACTGAAAGATATCCACAACATTTTACCATAGTTTCATAAATTGGACATTTACTTTTACCACCAGTTTGTGTTATCATGTTAATATGATGTTGTAAGTGTAATTCATTGGAGATACTAGCCTTTAGGCTACTCTAAAATCAGAAGAAAAAAAATAAAGTTATGTATGTACGTAGATATGTATTGGCTTCTAAAGTCATTTCTTAGGGCCATTTCTAAAAAAATATTTTTCTGTGTGAAATGCCTATAGTGGATCTTTTCAAAGGATAGCAATAATAATCGAAGAATAATCTTTGTAATAATAAACCCTTCCATGGTTTTTCCAACTTCTGACTGGGACCAGCAAGCAAAAATCCATCAACATGGCTAAAATGAGTGCCTTAATATTAGTAAAGATGTACAAGTTTGAACGTGATTTGTTGAAAACTATCGAAGATATAGCTCAGCAAAGTCATCAAATTTTACAGACGTTTGTATGGTGGGGGGTAATTTTGTGCTCCCCCCCCCCCCACCATACAAACAACTATGAACTTTTGGTATTAATTTTATGGAGCAATATCTCAGCTCACTTTTAATGTATCACCTTTAAATATTGGTATGTTTCCTTTTTTCCAGGAGTGCTAATGGATATTTGCTAACCAGTCTTTATAAATCAAAACTTGAGAAAAACTATGAAAGCTGGTCGATTACATAGAAGACAAACCTTTGTGATTTACAAGTTTTTCAAGCCTTCTCCCACCATTCCATGTGAGCTTATTACATTGGTAAACCAACAGATAAGTTGGTTGATTGCTTTTACAAAATAACATTTAGCAAAACCAAAGAAATTTTTGATGAGTTAAAAAGACATATACCAAGTCTAAACAATAGATTATTAGTACAGCAGAATCTCTCCTACACAACTCCTCTGGATATACAAGTACAAAGACTTGCCTTGCTGACTTTATAATGGCGGTTTGAAGTACATGTATCTCAAGAACAAGTTATTTCACTTAGGTGATTTCAGTAGGTTTAATACAAGTAGCATACTCACTGCACACGATCTTTTTGGTTTGGTTTCCTTAATCCACTCTTCATTTGATTTGGATCTAACAGTGAATGTTCCCATATTGAGTTTGCTCCATTTGTAACAAGCTGCCTAACCATCTGTTGCACAAAGGTAGTAATTATTATTAAGGAGAAAAATGTCACATTCTCTGTCAGTGAAACAAAAACTCCTTGACTACTCAAGTACCTGATGAGCCCAGGATTATCCAGAAAATTTTACGACGGAAAAAATTTGTGCAGGCAAAAAGATATTAGATTATTAAAGGCAATCGCAAGTGAGGCTAGGTTTGGAACTGGGTTATCCAGTTATTCGAGGAATCAGGGTGGTTTCCCTGGGGAAAATTTTAATTTCAGGGACTCTGAAGAATTTTGAGTGACCAAGTAAAGAATTTTAGCTCTATTAGCATTAGTTTGTTTCCATCCAATAAAGTATTGAGAAACAAATATGACACAATCAATATCCTCCTCTAAAATACTTTCATTTTTCTGTCACTAGCAGGCATTTCTGGGTTAAATTTTTGCTAATCACCGAGTAGTCTCTAGAAACCCTGGACACCCACCAGAATATCTTGTAAACCTGTCAAAAGAAGTCTGTGTTCCTTGTTCATATACTTTCAATAATTAAAATGAAAATTAATGTTTAACAGTGAGCCCAAGGTGTCCTCCGTGACCTTAAACCTCCGCTAAAATGAAGCCCCTGGCAGATGCAATGTACCAATATACCATACAATCACGTGAGATTATGTAACGATGCCACACATTAATTTTGCAATATAGGGCTATATTTCAAAATAATTATTCTTTTGTTCCCTTCTTCCTTACCTTGCTGCCTTTTTGCATCATATCTATTACCATTTTACAATACTTTCAATTAAATTAATTGAAAGATCATTCAATTTAAATAATCATCTGTTTTTGTATTTTTAGCATCAATCAGCATTCTATGCATATATTATCCCACACCTTTCTCCATCAAATCCTCACGTTTTTACAGGAAGCCCCCAAAAAGCTAAGGAAGAAGAGGTACTTAGTATAACATAAATATACCTTCCAATGTTATTATGGAAAAACAAAAACGGAAAGGGACTCATTTAAAATGTTAATAGAGAAAAGTCTAATTTCCAATGGTAGAATTTAATTTTGAAATCCATGTCAATTGTAAACAAAAATAAATTTGATAACAAGAAAACATGCTTCAGGTTTTCTGAAAGATTTTGTTTTAATTAAAACACAAAACACCTGCCTATAACAAGCTTACATTCACACAGGATAGGAAACCTTTCAGATGTTCATTTTTGCTACAGTTATTTCGAACCATGATAAGCTGTGTCCACTGAACCATTAAAACACTATGAAATTAATGGCTACAAAGGAACAGGATCCAGTTTTTGTCACTTTAATTTCATGTTAAGCAAAACTTAAATGTAATTGTGACCATTTGCTTTCGAGTTTAGGGATGATTGGTATGCCTTATCTTCTTGGCAGAATTTACTAAGATCTGTTTTCCAATGATCTAGTAGTGTAATCATATTTTTTTTGTACGGTCTTAGAAAAAGGGGTCTTAGTAGTTTAAAGAAAAATAAAAGAAATCCTACAGAAGAGTAAATTTCTCTATGTACTGTTCATTGTTAGGAAAGATTTGAGAATTCAAGCAGTGATTAATTTCCCCACTGTGAGAATGATAAGTTATGTTATTGTATACAAGGGGGAAGTGTCCGTGGAACACTATTTTGACACTTCAGAACTGAATTCCTTGGTCAACAAACTATAATCGGGGTAGTAGACTTTGGAGAAACGCTAAGTTACTTTAAACAGTATAGTTTTCTGTGGTAAGTAACCTTCAAATCGAGCTTTACAATAAATCAATTACAGACGTGAATGTTTGCAATGATGTCCATCTTACTTGATCGAAACCATTCTCTCTTGAAACTCCCGCGCCAATAACAACAACACACTGTTATCCAACATCTAAATAAGATCACGAGGTCGGATTGTACCTTAAGACAGCAGCAAGAAGAATAGCGATATTTTTATCATTACATATACGTACCGCTTGTAAAGTTGGACTCCAAGACGAATGTCGAAGATGCTTCACTTGAGAAATATGCCGGCCCAGACTTCGATGTACACTGCAACATTCGTCGCAAATCAATACTCCGCGATTCACCGATGCCCATTCTGGACCTATTCAAAGACCAGTGATCAACAGTTACTTCTAAACTCATTAAAGGCAGATTTCTACAAGAATCCATGTTACCTGTCATCAACAAAAAGTTACTGTCATGTTACCGCGCTATGGCGGGTTATGACTCAACTCAATATCTAGCTAACTTCCTCACCTGGAGCGCTACAATCCGCGCAAAAATCTGTCGTTGGACGTAGCTTCATCCTCGAAGACATAATTCAAGCCATAAAGGTGCCAGAAACTATGCAGCCTTGCTAACTCAACAAATATTGTTCCATGAATGCAAACAAATCCTTCACATTTCCCACTTCCCTCTTTCTTCAT